CTTTTCGTCGCACCTTCGCTTTGTGACCCGAAGCGTTGTCTTCGAATGCCTTCTAACACCTTATCTTAGAGTCTTACTGAAAAATGCCTGTACCAGAAACGTAGCTTTCGTATGAATAAGTTTAGTTGTCGATGTTTCTATTCAGCTTCCTTACTGCTCGTCAAGGAAGGTTCAGTTTCTTACGTGAAGGGTTGCGGTTTGGTCACTGGTTTGAGACCTCTGATGCTTTTTAAAAAAGAAAAGCTAATATTGCTGCTGTGCGCTGTTATTTCCCTTATCGAGGCGTAATGCTGAGGGGCTACAGCTTGGTCGTCTGTGCTTTTCACGGCATCTCTCCTTGTGTTTCTTTTCCAGCTTACTGACTGCTGTGCAGAACAGCAGACTCTTCTTGCTTTATTTCGGGCAGCAATCCTAAAAGCGATTGCCTTGCTGGCTGAAGGGCACGGGCAGCGTTAGTGCTAAGACCTGCGAGCAGATCCCCGTTTCTCTATTCTGCTCTGTGATGGTTGGTTCCTCGTTCTTACAATTTCTGCTGTCTCAGTCGATGTACTTCGGAGCCGTTGCAGGTTTCCAGCGGTAGTGGTGGAGGAGAAGGCAGGCGTCCCCAGTCAGGTGGATAGACTGGACTTTGCATGCTCCGTTATGAAGTGGCCTCCTCCTGCTTCCAGAGAGGATGGCATGAGAGCTCTTTTCCTCCAGCGACCTGTTTGGAAGGTGAGGGGGAATGTTTGAGACCCATCGCTCTGCAGACCCAAATCTTGAGCAGGTTCTGGTACGTCCCTCTACAGGTACCGTGCCGTAGGAGCGTGCAGCGCAAACCGTACTGTGGGACCCGTTTTCTCTAGGACTAGTAGAATTGCAGGGACAGCTGTTAATTACAGAACTGTGGGATTTACAGCTTTAACCTGAGCTTTTCATTTCTAGGACGAATGCCATGCGAAAATTCCCCTGCCTTACATCAGGCCTTTCAATATTGTAAACATCTTAATAGATCTTGTGTGCTGGGTGTCTGCATGGTGTGACTAGATGTTAATAAACAATCATCTTGACAGGAATTTGTGCCTGGAATACCAAGACTTGGGAAAAGGCTCAGACCCGCTTCCTGAAGAAGATCTGTAGAGACATTCAGCCCGCTTGGTAGCGCTGCATTTTGGTAACGGGCCTTCTTCCACCTCTTTCTTTCCTTCCTAGGATGTTCTCCTGTCGGTCTGGCTGCAGGCGTCCTTCTTGGGCAACTGCCTGTAAGTCAGGGCATGAATAACAGTTCCTGGAAGCGC